CCTGTGCTGGGTGTGATCCCTCTCACTGGCGAGGGCATCTAGGAGCCCATGTACAGGTACATGGTGGTGCATGTGCAGGTGAACTACACTGCGCTTCCTCTGGCATTTTTCCCACCAGGGAAGCTGTGCTGAAGGATGAGGATCTGTGATGTGTGTAACAGAGTGTGCTTGTGGTGCGAGGGAGATGCCAATGACATCTCTGCTTCTCTGAGGTTATTCTCCAGCTGATTTAATTCCCACTTTGCCAAAGTGGCAAGTTCTTGTGATGATCTGGATTGATGTGGCTGAAGGTGCCTGACCCACTTCTGCTGAACTGGAAGTGATTCAGTAAAAACAGCTCAGGCCACTATGAGCTGCCCCAAGCCCTGCATGACTGCCAGCTCCCAGCCACGTTAGCATTTCAGCTGAATCCATTTGAACACAAGTCCTCACAGCAGAGTGACATACAAGGCTGGGCCAGGTGTTGGGATGAAGGAGAATGGAAAGAGGAAATCAGTGCTTAGAAAAACTATAATGGGGAGATGGTTGAGGCACTAAACAAGAAATTAAAAAATTAAACCAGAAAGTATGCTTTGTACTCACTGACCTTGGGCTGTAGCTCAGGGATAGTCTTGGAAAGACCAATGAATGCAAGAAAGGAGGCATAGAGCCAGCCTGGTTTGTGCTTTAAACCACTTTGTAGAGACATGGGGGGGTTCAGATTCTACTGGCCCTGATGAGGCCATATCTGGAGTAGTGTCCAGTTTTGGGCTGCTCAGTACAAGGAGCTACTAGAGAGAGTCTAGCGAAGGCCACAAGGATGCTCAGGTGTCTGGAGCATCTCTCTTATGAGGATGAGATGGTGGTAGCTGGGCCTTTTTAGCCTGGGGAAGAGCAGCCTGAGAGTCAGTCTCATCAGTGCAGATCAATAGCTGAAAGGCAGTTGCCAGGAGGATGGGGCCAGGCTCTTTCCAGTGGTGCCCAGTGACAGGGTGAGGAGCAAATGGCCAAAAACTAACAACAGAACGAGTGTCTTTACATGAGTGTCAGAGCCCTGGCACTGGCTGCCCAGGGGGTTGTGGAGTCTCCCTTTCTGGAGACATCCCAGACCTGCCTGGACACATTCCTGTGTAACCTGCTGTAGGTGGCCCTGCCTTGGCATGGAGTTTGAACTGGATGATCTCCAGAGGGCCTTTCCAACCCTAATGATCCTGTGGTTCTATGAACAGGTGCATTGTTTTTTTTAATACCATTACAAACATCTTAGAAAGCAAAAATTGTTTAAAAGCAAATGTTGTAAGAAAGGAGCCTGCCTCTCAGTTCTGATACTGACCAAGTATGTCTTTGCACTCCTCCACAGTTCCTCCAGCAATCAGTGGAACTATTAGTTAACCTGAGGGCAGTCCCTGGCCCACTGCAAGCACAGCAGGATCCATGCAAGGGGCAGGGGATGATGAAGATTTGGACTTGCATTCCAGAAAAGATGTCCACAAAGGGACGACTTCCCCCTGAGGAGCTGTCGGGTCACACTGACACCGCTGCCATCTACCACAGATGGTTTTCAGCCTGTATCACGCATCACTATGACACAGCACTGCTCACAGCACATTCTCAATGCAGCACTGAGGTTAGTATGGAAATTCTGTCTGTCTGTCAGTGTTCCTACCTGTGCCTGTGGTGGGTACTTGTTCTCATGTAGACTAGAGACCACTGATTAAATGCGCCCCCATACCGCTGGTGAGCAATCACAGCATACCACTTCGGACAACCATGTGTTCTCACTGAGCCCTGTTGTACTGTGCAGTAATTAAAAAGTCATGAGTCCTATTTAAATATAGGGCATTGTGTCCTAAACCTTCGAGTGCCTGTGGGGGTGAGTAAGCTCATTCTCCGAGGATGTTCTCTGGTCTGTGTACGTGCACCAGCTTCATCCAAAGGATGTAGGAAATGCTAGATCCAGGTATATGAATTCCACTTAGGTTTTGGGGTTTGTTGTTTGGGTTTTTTTTAAATACATCACTGATGAGTCCAGGGATGGCAAAAATGAATAGTAATGAGCTAATTACTATACCAGCTGCCTACAAAGAGGGGTCCCGTAGGCACACTCCTTCTGCCCATTTGCCTGCTGGTCAAACCACCACTCTAGAAATTACAAAACAAAACTTGTTTTCCCTTTCTAAACATCTCTCAGCATCACCTTTATATGGCCCACAGCATCAGCACTGCTTTTAAGTCTTTCAGCATCACCTTTATATGGCCCACAGCAGCAGCACTGCTGAGCTTTTAAGTTCTCGACGTCCAGCCAGAATCTCCCCTAGCACATTCTAACACATTTTACTAGCTCGAGCAGGGTAGAACACAGCCGTCTCCTCAAGCGGATGCTGCTGAGGACGGGTGTACCATCTGCATGCCTCCCGATGTCTGAAGCCCCTTCCCAACTGCCAGGCCTTTGAAAAGGCAGCCTGTTCCTCTGATTGATTCACTTTTTAATGAACTGGGAAAGCCTGTGAACTTAAACCCTGACACCTCCACCTCCCTCCCTCCCGCGCCATCCCTGCAGCAATGTGCTGATTATATTTCAAGTTATTACAGGATTAATACAGCTGCCCCCGGTGCCTCTTTCCCCTGAACTTCATCAATAAAAGTTGTGTACTCTTACTCCAGCTCGTTCAGTTGCTCCCTGAATCTCTCCATGTAACCTGTGGTGTGTCAGCAAGGCTGTATCATATCAGCCCTTCAGAGCTGCCAGTGCTACTAGCGGTTAGACCCTACTTGTGACACGGCCTTCTGTAAGCTTTGTCTGCTAAGAGAACATCTTGAGCTCTGCTACGCACCCCATCAGCTCTCTAAGCGAGTAGCATGTACTTAGCACAATTGAAAATAGTGAAATAAGGTAATTCTCACAAAAAAAAAAAAAGTAGATTATGCCAGTGTCAGCTTTGTTTGAATTCACAGTGGAGCTATAAACCAGACCTGTACACAGGCCAGTTCAGGTAGAAGGAAAAAGAGAAGGTGGGGAAAGCAAAAGACCTAGGCCCAGCACAACCCAGTATTTCACACATGGCATTTCTTTCTACAGTACAAGCTTCAGGTTTACTTTTTTTGTTGTGTTGTAGGTATTTTTTTCCCCCCAAGAATCCTATTTTCTAAACCCATCATTAAAAATGTAATTAACTGGCTTATTCTTTGGAAAATGTGCAGTTGTTTACAAAGGAATTGCCACACAAGCTGCCACCTTCGACTGTGCTCAAGTGGGAAGTTATGCTCTTGTTTACAACTGTGCATCAATTCCACAACATATTTAGTTTTGGTGCAAGTTACATATAAGATTCTTACGGAGCTTAATGTTGCAGCAAATAACACATATAGTAAGCGAGTAGGATTTATCACTGACTGTAATGTCGTAGTACATACTCTAAACCTATGTGGTGAATGATATACACGCATACACATGCAAACAAAATGGAAATATATTTGGTTTAAGAAGTGATAAATTGTGTCTGCTTTCATTATTCTCATTTTGTATTGTAGGAGAATGGAGATCAGGCACATCCATGAGAAGGGTGACTGGTTGGGATCGCATCTGAGAAGCACCGCACTCACTGATGAGCAGGTTAGAGAAGAAACTGTGTTTTGCTACCCATGGGACGAGAGGGGGTCCCTCAGGAGTGAGGGACCCAGTGTGGCTGGTGGGACTCCCACTGAGTCCCAAGATGCTCACAGAAAGCATGAAACATAGATCCAGGTAAAACGTCTCCCCCAGGATGTTTTTTTACAAACTACTTTGTTGGAATTTTCCCCTTTAAATTATTTTGTCTTATTTTCCCCCTTCTGGTCTCTCTCACAAGCACGGAGGCCGGGTGGCTCTGCTTAAATAACGCATCTACAGTTCTGCAATATCTTTTTGAACTATAGCAATTAAACGGAAAATAGAAAAATCAGCTCAGCATCCTGTTTGGATGTAATTAAAGGTATAATCTGTTCCATTTGAATACTTCAGTGCTTACCCTTCTTAAAACAACAAATAAGAATAGGAGCTCATTTGCAGTATGGGTTTTTTTTCTCTAGGCCAGCTAAAAAGACTGAACTGATGAAGCAGGAATAATTTTTAAATGTGGCATAAGCACAAAAATACCAACTGCAGCTTTTGAGTGGCTGCTGCAGATCCCACGTCTGAGGGGAGTTCAGTAACAAGGGGTATCAGCTTTATGGCAAAACATCTTCCACTGCTCAGTAGCAGCATCTTGGTATGGCTGACATAATTACCTATCAAATACATCAGCCAAATACATCAGTGGAATGAATATCAGAGGATACCCAAAAATACGGAAGGGGGATGCATATCAGCTCAGCCTGTTCGGGGCTGTTTGATCTGCAGGTTTTTTCCTAAGAATAAAAGACAAACACCACATTCATCACCCCTTTGTTTTCTGTAGGCAGCTGATGATTTTACAGCACAAAATTAGCCTATTAATGGCTGGCTTATGAATTTTAGCTGGGTTTTTTTTCCCTCCTATTGGACATTTCTCTACTGCTCAAAGAAATTGAAGTCAGGTGTAAAGTTAATATCTGCCTTGTTCATTTATTCATATTGTAAGCAATCAAGATTTCCCCAAATCACAGGGCAATCTCTCGCCTTCTGAGAATTAATATAGGCCCTGTTCTCTCAATTTAGTTTAACAACCCAACTGGCATAAGTTCAATGGAACCAATGATTATTCTGAGAGGTTACAGCGAACCACAGAAGTTGTTAGTGAAAAGCTTGCTTGTAAGATCCCCTAAGAGGAAAAGTATATGGGTATTCTAAAAATCTAGTTAACAGTGTATTCCAACACTGTGAGACAGGGACATCAGCTGGAACCTGCTGCACACAGAGAGCTTCAGCTTGCCCAGTGGCCACCACTCCTGGAAGAGCAAGGAACATGAGGAGCACCAGAGGGGACCGTGCAGTGCTGCAGAGAAAGGCACCAGTGCACGTTCTGACAGCAGGGGCTCCTTCCCATGCTGCTCCCTGTGTTTGGCTGCGTGGCTGCCTTCCTTCTTCATTCATGGGCACTTCACTGGCTCCAGGACCAAACCAAGCAGAATAGCGCTTCTCCTGATGTTTTTGTCTCCACTGCATCACCTCCCTCTCAAAAACCAAAGTTCTGTTGAGGCGAGAACATCTCAAGCTAAGCTTTGGGCTGAGTGTTACGGTTTATAGGGGTGCTTCAACAAAACGGCTGAGGTTTTTTTGTTTGGTTTGCTGGGATTTTTTAAGTTCTGTACGTATCAGGGGATAAAAAAAGGCTTAAAAAGCAAAATAATATTTTTCAAACATTTTTCATCATTCAAAAAGAAGTGGATTTCCAGGCCCAGCATTTGTGAGCTGGGGTGAACATCTTGTGTAGCGGGGAACTGATTGAAACAGATAAAGTGATTACAAAAAATGTAAGAGCAATATTACATATGGGATCAAAATGGCACAATGCTCTGTGAGGCCTGTATTAGAGCAGTGAATATGAGAGTTCAGAAGGTGCTTAGCACCTGTGAGAATTTCCAGCCCTCCTGGGTGTGTGTGCTTTGCTCTTTGAAAGCCCAGGCCCTTTTCAGGCCTGGTCCTTCAGAGGCCTGAGCCCTCACATAGCATTCCTCAAGCATCACCCTATTACAGGGACAGCTCTCGTTTCGGCCACTGCACTTCACATCTTTTCTGAGCTGGCTGAACAGTGTGGTGTGGCCTTTCCAGTCACTGAAATTCTGCAGTTTATTGCTTTTAATATAGTAGCACTGAGAGGCCTCATCAGAAACCCAGAAAACTCCAGCCTTTGTGACACCAGGCCCTTGCTTGCCCTTCAGTGGCCAAGCCAGAGGTGAGTAGGGGCAAAAAAGCACCATGAGCCGCCAGGCAGGACAAAGTCTTACATCCCCAGCCACCACCTCAGATCCTGTTGCCCCCTCCTTGACCTGTGCAGCCTCCTGCAAGCCAGGAACATTTCTGTGAGCTTTGTGCTAGAATTGTTAAAAGAAACATAACAGAACCTGACTTGTTAAAAATACCCACAGAGGAGGGAGGAAAATAACCCTGCACACAGCTGCGTCTGCCTCCAGTAAACAGGGCTTTTATCAGGCCTTGGGCTCAGACAGGACCACTCTGCTGCAGGTGAGTGAATTCCTGACTCTCAGCTGGGCAACTTCAGCTGAGGTTTAAGCACAGGCCTTTCATCTGCCACTTCCCCAGAGCCAGGACCCTGCACACGCTGGGTGGTGTTCCCCATTCACCCCTGACGCAGCAGTTTGCTCAGCAGCACTCGTCTGCCCCATGGGTCACCCTTCAGGAGCAGGGCCGGAGCCATCCCACCCCCCAGGAACAGCTCTGAGAGACAGGAACCTGTTTCTAAACGAAGCAGCGCTTATCTCATGCATGCCACAGGTGTGATGTCATCCCCGCCGGCGAAGGAAGGAGGATGTCTGCAGCCTCCACCGTGCAGAGAGGCAGGAACTGAAGTGAACATGTCTGAGACTTGGTTAGAGCCTGGTGATAATTAAGAAACGTAATTACTGCTGCAGAGATAATTCCTCTTTGAGTTCTTACAAACAAGTTTTTAATTTGCACCAAAAATTTACATTCCAGGTTTCAGGTGAACCACGAGCGCTGTGAGCTCGGCAGGGACTCGAGGCGGGGGCTGGCAGGTTCTGCCAGGCTCCAGGGCAGGAGCACCGTGGCTTCCCGGGAATGGCACAGGCAAACAGCCACCAGCAACCCTGGGTGCGCACGGGTGAGCAATGCCATTGCTTTGGACTGCCTCATCTGTTGTACAAGTGCGACAGTAAAAGCTGCGGCAGATAAAACTTCTGCTTTTTATTAAAAAGGAAATCCAAACCAAAACCCCAAACAACTTATAAGGTAATTGATTGGTTTCTCCTAGTCTTTTATTAGTTGTGATTAAGGAGCTAGAGTATCCCTGTTTACACAGCTCTAACAAGTCAGGACCTGCAGTACATTATTGGCTTGTGGCCCACAACTTGCAGTCCATTCTCAACAGAATCAATCTGGAGTTGAAAACATCCCCTGTAGGAAGCGTACACATCCTTGCTTATACAGGAACAGAAAACAGTAATAACTTCAGGTCCTGTAAGTTGCAAGTGCAAGTTACAGAGATCAGCCCTGACTTGTCATTGCTCTCAGCATGTTCGTGATGAGATCAGAGTGCTTCACAGAGGACTCGTACTTTCAACTTGACAAAGGACATAGGTGAGCGTGTTACACTTCCCTGTTACTTGCAGCTCAGGCTGCAGAAATAAGTCGAGAGCTCCTCACTGTTTAACATGCAGTCAAAGCACCACCAATCTAAAATGGCTGATCAGTAATACTTTAATTGCACTTTCATAGAAACAAATTGCTATTTAATTGCAGTAAGTTCTTGTGTGGCTTAGCTGGACTGACAATAGGCATACACCTGGTACTAACAGTAACACGCAGCAACAGTGGTTATCTGGTACTTCATGTACGGGAGGCTCAGGCAGTGAAATGGGACCCGGCACACGTAATTTCACACTGAAGAAATGTAATGCTTAAAAAAATAGATGTACATAAATGTCCCTATCTCAGTTTTATTTGTTATTTAATAGAGCTGTTCGGCCTGGAGATCCTTGCAAAAAGCCTCACGCTTGACAAACAACTGCCAGCCAAAGAACCTGATAGAAAACTTGGAATTAAAGTGCTCTTTTGAAAGGTCTGACGGTGCTTCAGAGCAGCTCACAGTGTGCAGGACACGGTGCGGCATTGGGTGCCTTTTCTGTCTTAGTATTTTCCCTAAAATTAGATGATGCAAATTTGATCAGTGTTGACTAACAGGGAAGAAGGGAGACACCCTCGGTGTGGTTAATATTCTAAAGCTGTGACTTAATTTCCTGGCTTCATTTTGGTGAGACATTCTCATTTTATATTTCATAAGGTACCGTGTAAGCTGTTAAAATATTTAAAGATAAATCATGTAGGACTGAACAGACAGTATCTTGTTGCAAACAGAATTTGGTTTGGAAAGGCTTAATGTCCCCCTGCCTGCCAGGACGCGTAAATCTCGTCACAGACAGCTGGATAGGTAAAAACATTAAACCCATTTAGAGGGCAATCTTTTTATGGAATTGTTTCATTAATAAGAGTGACAATTCCTATGATTGAGGCATTCAGATGTAGCATTGACAGAGCCTTTTATCCAGGTTCACCAGAATGAGTTCAGATTAGAAATGTTTCCTTTGGTGTTCTTTAACAGCATTCATTCCTGAAAGGGAGGGAAGCTCTTAGTGAATGATTATTTGTGTGACTTTTCCGCAGCACTAAATGCAGAGGGTGTATTTCAGCCTCAGTATCGCAAATGCATGGGAGAAAAGGTGCACAAGTACCTATTTTTGCTTACAGATCTCCCCAGAAAGTGATTTTTCACGGAAGGACAAACCTAAGTGGTGCCAGCAGCCTTCCACTCACACCTCCCATCCCCATTTGAGCCTGGTTTATTGTCTGAAATACCTCTGGTTTCAAGGAAGTGTTTTACCTAAAGCAAGAATACTACTTAAATATGTTCTATTGTATATTCATAGCTCCATTAGTCCTCCTCCAATTTAGCACATCAAAGCAAAGGCTTCATCACTTGCATGTGGATTATGCTAACATGAGTGACATTTGTAATCTTATAGGTCTGCAACTGAAGAAATGCTTTTAAAGTAAGCTGTTAAATAGGTAGCTGTGCTTTACAAACGAGTCATATAATAGTTTATTTAAAGCCGTTAATGAACTTCAACCTCACCAGCACTAAATGCGATACCACATTACTTACTGTTATTAGCTATCTTCTTAGCACTTCGAGGTTATATTGGACAACCAAAAATCTGCACGTTAAACACCGTACCTCAAGTGCTTACACTCAAAGCATGCAGAAAGATGTCTACAGTCTCACCAACACTTGAATCTGATATTCACACGCCTTCACGTGTCCTTTCAGAGCAGCACAATTTGCAGGCCTCTCCTTAAAGACTTCAACACCAGATCCAAAAGCTCAAAAACTTAAGGTAAAAAATAGGTAAGTGCAGTTAATTAAAAGGCCATACAGAGCTTCAGTCGGTTTATTGCTGTGTTATGCAAGTGTTTTTGTCTGTACTGCCTGATCGCCCGTATTACAACACATTTTCTTCTCTGCACCAGTCCTATTCTTCCTCAAGCACTGAAGTGTTAAAAGAAGCACTTCAGCAGCCCCCAGTGTGCTGGAGGTCAAGAAATAGAATCTGGAAATAAATAAAGGGAGAAATCTGCTCTTGGTTGTTTAGACAGCCAAATCTATACATCAGCTTTTTGTGTTGTGGCATCACACCATGGAAAAGTCAGGCTCACTCCGTAAACGAGCGCTCTGAGCAGTGAGCACCACCTCAGGAATAGAATCAACAAGGAAAACTTAATCATGGTGTACTTCACATGTATGATTCTCCTGTAAAAGCAGAGTAGTTGTTAATATTGATTTGTTACTAATTGCAGCAGAGGCACGTTCTGGGTGTGTGTGGTTTCCTGCCATAGATCCCTGTTACTGTTCTTGCCACAAACATGAGACCTCAGAATAATTTTTCCTCAGAATTATTCTGCACTGAGCAGCCGATGGGAAAACCTCACTTTCCTAAGCTTAGGGGAGGCTGGGTTGCTTTGGGGGAGCAGGTTTTGTTTGCTCAGAAAACAGATCATATTTGAGATCAGTAAGTGCTCAGAAATGGCCCAGGAAATGTGGTTTTCTTCCCTTAAGATTATTGGTGTTAAGAAGTAAGACTCTTACCCAGCACACACAACTTTATATTGCTCAGATCAGAACAGCTGTTGTATTCCATGAATACTCAATTCTAGTGCTCAGCATGAGGTACAGGCCCTGGGTTGGTTTTTACTCTGTTCCTCTTTGACCTCTTAAGATATGTACACACACTCTCCTGCTTGCATGCTCACAGACACATGCATGCCCTTAACACAGGTGATGCTGCTACCTGAATGTGTCCCATCCTTCAC